ATTGCCTGGCATGGGAGGTATCCCTCCACCCCCACCCCCACTGCCTGGCATGGGGGGCATCCCTCCCCCTCCACCCCTCCTGCCCAGCATGGCAGGAGACCACATAGAAGCCGTGGTGGTGGCCTCTCAGTTCAGCTGCCCTCTTGGCTCAGGCAGGCCTCCCCACAAGACAGTGAAGACTCCAACGTTGAGGATGAAGAAGCTGAACTGGCAGAAGCTGCCCTCCAACGTGGTGAGAGGTGAGTGCTTCTGTCATGAAGTCAGTGCTGCTTTAGGGGTGTCCCAGGGGAGAAAACGCTGTCTTTGAGTTTGTCAAATGTGGTTTGTTCTGTTTAGATACAGAACATGCCTGATTTCTATTATGTCTGACCTGCAGAGCTTTAATAATTAAAAGCATTACTAATATATTACTAATTTAATAACTATTCCAACTAAATCAGTAGGTTAGAGTAGCTTGTTTATAACTAAAATGTTCTGAAATTAAAAGAAGGGGGAGGGATGGGAATATTTTCCTAATCCACCATGATGTGTCTTAGGCTTTCCTCAGCAGGCTGTGATCCTGGTTCCCCCGGCCTTTGTTCCCCAGTTCATCTATGCTTGTATGTGGGTATATTAAAACCATGAGTAAGAGTGCAGGTAAGGGTCACATCACAGTTCAAGAAGGACACTGAAAGAATTAGGGAGCCATGAGAATAATTGACCTGTCTCTTGATTTTTGAGTTATATTTCCCTGTCGTATTGGATCCAGAGAAAGCACAAAATGTGAGAAGAAGCCAGGACAGGCAAAGTCAGCTTTGTCCTAGACAGGCAAGGCATTCACTGCATGGAATTTGGCATAGGTGAAGCCTAAATGAGGCATGTTTTCAATCACAGGAGCCGTTAATTCTCAGGATTATTTCAGTAGAGACTTCTACAAGCACACTTAGGTGATTTTTTTTTTTTTTTGAAAAGAGAAGTTTAAGAAAGAGAAGGGGAAATTAATTCAAGTAGTCCTATAGTCAGCATTGTCCAAGGAGGCTCAACTATAAAATGAAAAATGGAGGGAGGTCACAGTCAGAAAGTGTGCAAGTTGTGGCCAGTCCTTCAGCTAGCATGCGAAGAAGCAACAATAACATCAGCCATGAGACTAGAAAAGAAATGGCCAAGGTCTCTCTCGTGCTGACCCAGTTTGCCTACCATGGAGAATGCAGCTGTATAGGGAGGGATGGGGCTGTAGAGTCTCTGTGTGCCCAGTGCTGCATCCCCTTATCCCAGCACCTCCTGGGGTAAAGCACCAGGTTTAATTACTCTTCCCTGCCCTTTTCATCCTGCCTGTGGGACTTGCCCCTCCTCAATAATTAGCATTTGTCCATAACTAGACATCTTTTCTTATTACATGCCTCTTCTGAGAAGTGTCTCTTCTAGCAGCTCACATTGCCCCAAAAGCCAGGAGCTTTCAGCTGTCCCTGTAGCCAGTCTGAACATCTTGTCTCTTTTCAGAAAGTCACTCCATGTGGGCTTCAGTGAGCAGCAGCAGCGAGGAGACTATAGAACCCAACTACACAAGCATAGAGCAGCTCTTTTGCTTTCCACAGCCAACCCCCAAGGAGAAAACGGCCACACCAGTGAAGGCAGAACCAAAGGAGGTGAGGAGGTCCCTCTCATTCTTTCAAATAAAGATCACTGCAGACAGCTCATCTAATATGAGATATCTTCTTTTTCTTTAATGAAGATCACATTTTTGGACTCCAAGAAAAGTCTCAATTTGAACATATTTTTGAAGCAATTTAAATGGTAAGGTATGGCAAATTTTCGTGACAGTTGTCAAAACTTTGACTAGGTTTTGTTTGTATCTGGAAGGTCATCATTAAATCTGTTCTAGTCAGTGCACTTTGGTGGTCTGTGTTACTGAAACATCTGAACATTTCCCATACACTAACTGTAAAATAACAAATTTAGTGGTTTAATTGTGGTTTTACATAAAACATCCCTGTACATTGGCAAAGGTGTTACATCTCCATGTTACAGATGAGGTTGTGGCACAGACTTGTAGGATGTCTTAGGCTGTGAGACACCACTGGAGGTCAGACCCCTCTTCAAAGCAGTGCCAATGGAGTAGTTAAGAATAGACTAAGAATAGAAGAAGTAGTTAAGAATTCAGTTTTCTTTTAAGGTAGTCAAATGCCCACAGACAGAGATCTCAGGTGCAGAACTGATCTCTGACCTTGAGTCTTTTGACCGGGGTCAGAAACAAAATCTGGGGCATAGCAGGGAATCGGGTCCCAATTCTAAGTTAATCCTGGGGACATCTCTTTCCTCTTGGATTATTGTGGCTCTCACTAGGGAAAGCACGCAGTGCTTGCACAGATACAGGTCTCGGTTGCATGTGACTGGAAGAAAAGTACCTGGGTGACAACTGACTCTGCTCCTCCTCCCTGCAGCTCCAATGAAGAGGTGGCTGCCATGGTCCAGAATGGGGACCGCACCAAGTTCGATGTTGAGGTTCTGAAGCAGTTGCTGAAACTGCTGCCTGAAAAGCATGAGGTCAGAGGAAAAAACAGTACCCTTAGTTCACAGAGCTGAACATGCACTGCAGTCCTGATTCTCTGTTTCTCATTAGACAGAAAACCTGAAGGCCTTCAAAGAAGATAAATCAAAGCTAGCAAATGCAGATCAGTTTTATCTTCTCCTCCTTCAGATTCCCAGGTAAGGGTGTTGGTCATGAATGTCAGTCAAATCTTTTTCTTGGTTTATCTCTGGGAAGTTTAAGTTTCTGTACAGGAACTTCACAGACAGACAGATGCTGGTGGATGTTGTTGGTGCATTTCCCTTTCCACCCTGGAGTCATCCCTTTCCCTGTTGCCCTTAGACGAAGGGCCGTTGCTGCTCCAGCACCTCCTCTCCGTCTGAAGTAGAAAAAGCTGGTCCAGACCCAGGGTCAGATGTGGCCAAAGAGACCCCATAACTTACTGAAAGGCAGTGCCAAAAGCAATGTCAAGCAGAGGGCATATCTCACATGGTGGTCAGTCTTCTCTTAGCTGATCACAGTACATCAGCAGAAGCTACATCCCCATGGGTCCCGGAGGCAAGCAGCAGCCCCTTGCCTCCTCCACAACCCACAGACACTGTTCTGATGGGGATGTGGCTGACAGTGATGTTATGGGGTTGCCAGACTTATGGGTGATGTCGGGAGAGGGCTGCTGTGGTGGCCCAGGTCACAGTGCTGTTAAGCTTTGGATCCATCTCTGTCCTTAGCTACCAGCTGCGCATTGAATGTATGCTGATCTGTGAAGAGACCACCGTTGTGCTGGACATGATTCAGCCAAAAGCTGAAGCCATCCGGAGAGCCTGTGAAGGTAAATACCTGACCTTATTTCTGGATCTTATTTATGACAGGGAAGCTTCAAACCCTGCAAAGGTCCCCAAAGGCTCCTCAGTGATACTGCTGAGCCCCCCAGAAATTCCCCTGCAGTCCTTCACTGCAAAACACAGGATGCAGCTTTAGGTATCTCCACTGATGGTCAAAGCCCTTAATAGGACCAGAGATCATTTCCCTCACCTTCAGCCCTCTTTTCTCTGCAGAAGATGTATTCCTCTCAGACACTGAAGTGTTGGGAGCTCATCAGCCCTTTCAAAAGAGCTGAATTTAGACAGCAGAGCTAGCCCTGTTACAGCTAACTCATTCAGCATTATTTGCCACATTAAGATACACAGCAATTTTCCTTGCTGTCAGAAAAGCACACTCCAGACTTTCCCCAGAAAGTAATGATGCTTTAGTTTTTCCCTGCCTACAAATAGAACCAGAAGAAAAATTTGTTATTTTGGGCTATAAATTACTAACACTCAAATTTTGTGAGGGATTTGAGATGAGGATGGAGAGATGATGCAACAGGGCTTGGCTTCCTGTGGCAGAAACCTCACTTCCCACTCCACTGAGAGCAGGATGCTCTTCTTGACACTGTCAAAAGCCAGTTCCCCCAGCTCCTGCCAGGGGTTTCTCCAGCTGGTATCACACCTATCTGCTGGGATAAATTGAAGCTTCCCCCAAAAAGTGTCTTCCCAGCAGCCCAGCTGTCCTGCCTCTAAGCTGTTTCAGAAAGCACACCACTGCAGCACCCTGTTGTATGAGCAAGGACTATGCCCTTCATGCCCTGATAATCACCTCCACCATGCGAGACCAAGAACAGGGTGAGCATGTCTGGGTTTAGCAGCTGGCAGATAATCACAGGGCTGTCAGAACTGGCTTCAGTGCATAGCTGAACAGAGTCTGCAAGATTAAAGTTGCAGCCCAGTTCCCCTCACCCGTGCCAGAGTAAATTGGGGTACTTCCAAGGAGGGCAGGGAGTTGATGGCTGTTAGCAAGGAAGGTCCAACTCCAGGTCCTTTTCCATTAGGAACGAGAGACCAGGTGTAAAGAAAGAAAGAAACATAAGCCAACAAAAACTTTTACCACTCGTGGAATTGAATGTATGAAGAATCAGTTTCTCTGCAGGACAGGCCCTTGGGCTGCAGAGCCGAAACATCAGATTTGATTTGGTGTAATTCAGGATCCCAATTTCAATGCAGTTTAGGAAATGCTTTGGTGTAACAGAGGCTTTTGTTTCAAAGTGCTTTATTTTTTCAGATCTTCTGAACAGTCATCGCCTGCCGCTCTTCTGTCAACTGATTCTCAAAGTTGGAAATTTCCTGAATTACGTAAGGGCTTCTTTGGTCTTGTACTCTCCCATTATAGTATGTAGATGATCTCCTTTAGGGTTGAAATTTGGGTGGATACAGGAGTTACGTTTGCTTTCTTTTTGTCTTGTAGGGAAGCCACACGGGCGACGCCGATGGGTTTAAAATCAGCACTTTACTCAAGCTAACAGAAACCAAAGCAAACCAGACCCGTATTACGCTGCTCCATCACATTCTGGAGGTACCACTGCCCAGTCTTGGATGATGGGGAAGGGAGAGGATTTCATCATGAATGAACTGTTTGTCCTACTCCCAGCTGATGCCACATGCTCGTATCCCTGGCTAGCTGCAGTGTCACAAGTTGGGAGCATTCACATCACTTAGGGTGGTGGAAGCTGCTTGTGGGCACTACTCAAGAATCTCCTTATTTTAAGACTTGTTCTGCTTTCCTCCAGCATCTTTACCCACAATGTCTGGAACTTCCTTTTTCATAATTGTGCAATCTGCACATCATCAGCTGCAAACCACAGAGCATATGGCTACCAAAGCTATCCTGGCTGGTCTGTACCCATTCAAACCTTCTGCCTTTCCACAGCCTCTCCTTTTTCTGCCAGGCTATGCTCAAGTTCTTCATGCTCCTCTCCAAGCCCCCATGGCTTTCTTATTCCCTAAAATGCTGGTTTTGCGTTTTTCTCCACACTCTGCACTGCCACCTTCATTCACCAAGGTACCTCCATTCCAGTTATGCATGTTCAAGGGCTGCTTTAGCTGGCAGTAACTTCAGCAAACATAGCAATGAAAGTAAACTATGCAAATAAGATTCAAGCCCTTTTGATACCCTCCTGGGACCACAGAAAATGTCAGACTGAATCAAACCACAGTGCTGCCTCCTCCCAGGGTCAAGAGTAGGTGTCTCAGAAGAGGGCAGAAGAAGAGCTCAGGAGCAGGTCAACTTTGCTTTGCACTATGAGCATTTCTCAATATTCACCCTTCTTGTATGTTTTTATAGCCCAGGAGCAATGCCGTTCCTCTCTGAACATGCTGTCCTGTTTTGGATGCAGCTCAGCTCTGCAAGGCAAACCAAACTGCAGAGTGGGGGCAGCAGCAGGACGTTGTGTAGTCATCCTTCTTGGGCACTTCTGTCCATGTCCCTTCCCATCAACTTCCTCTCAACTCCTCCCACATGGCAAATAACACTTCTTTCTCTCTTCCACTTCAGGAAGTAGAAAACAGCCACACAGACCTACTGGAACTGCCAAAGGATCTTGAATATGCTTCAAAAGCAGCAGGGTAAAATTGTGTTACTTCCTTCAAATTAAAAACAAAAATAAATCCCATACACATCAACAATGTACCAGAAATTAGGACACATGCAGCTGGTGTAGCACATTAACAAGATGGCATCTTATTTAGTTTTAACTGGAAGATTTGTCTGATGAATGTTGAAACCCCTTTAATGTATAATAGTTCTACTACATCTGGCAACACTTAGGGCTGAAATTTGCAGAACATTCAGCTACTGCTGTCTCACAGGTCCTTCCAAAAGCTGCACTGCTTTTGTGGTAGCAGGAGCATGTGAAGGCCAGCTACCCAAAAGCATTTCTGAAATGCCTTCAACCAGAGGAAGTGAGCTAATGCTCATACTCTGAGGGTGGAGAACAACCCTATGAGTAGACTTTTCTTGGTGTTCATCTACTCAGCAAAAAGTTGTAGGCAGACCTAGCAGCATAAGTGCTGTGGAGGGAAGCTATTTACCATGAGCTCAGACTGTGTAGAGAGTTCAGAGCTCACGTTTTAGTTCAGTGAAGTGATAGGAAGCAGAGGAACAACCAAACCACCAGCTCAGACTTGTCCATTCTTTGATCAGTGCAAAGTGCTGGAGTGTCAACTAATGGGGGGTTTCTGTGTGATTTCAGAATTAATCTTGATATTATTCGCACGGAGTCCAGTACCAATTTAAAGAAGCTGCTGGAGCTTCAGCGAAAAGTCTTATCCTCAAACGACAACGTGAAACAGCAATATGAGAAACCTATCCAGGTCAGTAACAGAGCTCCCTCCTGTCTCCCCCTTACACACACAGAGGCAGCGCACGCTACACGTGCAGCAGAGGAGGCTCATGAGAAGGTGGAAAATCCTGCCACAAGACTCACTCTCAGATTTAGAGTTGAGCTGCAATGCCACACAAGCCATCAGTGCCTATTTGCAGCTCCAGCCAAAGCCTAGATACCTTTGGGGAGGCCATTTCTTAAGGGCCCTGGCACAGCTGCTCTCTCTATTCTGTTGTGTGTCTCCTCACTTTGAGTGAAGTTGTTCACCCTCTGTGTGGATCTGTCGTGGTTTACCGCCAGCCAGCAACTAAGTACAACGCAGCCACTTGCTCACTCCTCTCCCCTCCCAGTGGAATGGGGAGGAGAATCCAACAAAAAAAAGATAAAATCTCTGAGTTGAGGTAAGAACAGCTTAATAACTAAAATGGAATAAAATGTAAAAATAATTGGTATATAACAAAAAAAGGGAGAAATAAAACCCAAGCCCTCTGCTCCACTCAGGGACTGATGCCTGGGCAGCAATCCGTCCGTCCCAGTAAACTCCCCCCAGTTTATATACTGGGCATGATGTTCTATGGTCTGGAATACCCCTTTGGCTAGTTCAGGTCAGCTGTCCTGGTCATGCTCCCTCCCAGCTTCTTTTGTACCTGCTGATCATGGCAGATCATGGGGAACAGAACAATCCTTAGGATAAGTGCTACTTAGCAACAAATAAAACATCAGTGTGTTATCAACGTTGTTCTCACACTAAATCCAAAACACAGCACTGTACCAGCTATTAGCAAGAAAATTAACTCTATCCCAGCCAAAACCAGGACAGGATCAGCTGAGTTCTCACAAGATTAAGTTTTGCATTGACCTTTCCATGTCTTCCTCAAGACACCCCTGTAAACTAGCTCAGCACAGTTGCCAGGAGCAAAGATCATTTGCAAATCTTAGTTTCTTCCCTCCTTACAAGCTCTGCTGCAGCTAAAAGCCAGGGCCCAGACTCCTGCTTCAAGGTCTTACATAGGCATCCTTTTTTCTTTCAGTGCACTTCACTCACCATCCTCTGGATGGTGTTTTACTGTGTATATTAAATGCATTTCAGGATAGCATTGATGCCTCCAGAAAGCTGGAAGAAGAATTTGAAACCATTGAAAGGAAAAGAGAAGAACTTGCAAATTACCTCTGTGAAGACCCAAGCAAGTTGTCCTTAGAGGACATATTTAGCACCATGAAGACCTTCAGAGATCTCTTCCTCCGAGCCTTGAAGGTTGGTGTCTCCACACATGATGCTGAGCATCCCTAGTACTGGTGCCTGCCTCCACTCTGACAGGGGTGGGAAGATGCTGGTTATGGGCACCTCCTTTAGATGCTTGACCTGAGGTCACCCGGTGAAGAGGTGTCTGATCCCTGCTCCACTGCATCTTCATGCCTGGCCCAGACCCTGGTGATTTGCAATTCTGGTGCAACTTTAGTTGCATAGTCACAAAGTTGTTTTGGAGTCAAGTGTGTAAGTTTTAGAGGAAAGGGTTTATAAAACTTATCCCTTTGCTCCAATGTGAGCAAACAGACTCAGCAAGGGGATGCGTAGTAGAACCACCAGTTTGGAGGAAATTGTGGCTTCAGTACCTTCACTTTTGCCTCAGCTAAAGATCAGGCAGGAGATCTGCACGCTGCCAGGGAGCTGTGTTAGGCAGATCACTGCCACCTCCTTCTGGGATGTGGCAGTCCTTTCCAAGCCAGCAGTCTCCCTCTCACCCTCTTGGCAAGACAGCCCTTTTTCCCCATGTCCATTTCATTTATTGCACAGGATAAGGCCAGAATTTCTCTTCCTCCTTTGCAACCCTCTGCAGATCTTCTTTCTTCATCGGCTTTTCTAGCAGACATTTAGCCAACCTTCACATGCCCCTTTTACCTCACTGCAGGAAAACAAGGACAGAAAGGAGCAAGCTGCCAAAGCAGAGAAGAGGAAGAAACAGCTGGAAGAGGAAGAGGGGAAGAGACAGAAGGGAGAAAATGGAAAAGTCAGTGAGTATCTGAAAGCTTCAGAAAAAGAGAGATGGAGCTGACAGGAGCTCTTTGCTGGTCCTGCTTTAATGGACCAGTAGTGGTAATTTATTTTGTGGGTTTCCAGGTGCCAGCTGACTAAAGGCTTTTAGGTCTCTTACAGCCTTAGCTGAGAATTGTCTTTTCACAGTTGCAGCTGGGCAGAGAAGTTAATTTTAGGTTTGCTGACTGAAAAAAAAAAATTCTAATTCAAAGATTTCAGTTAACTTTTTCAGGTTCATAACTTTTGAACCCCAAATATAACAATAAATATTTGACTCCTCCCCCCTCCAAAATCCCCATACACACCTGAATAGTCTCTCTTCACCACAGACTACTGACATCTCCAAAATCTTGCAGATAACTTAAATCTGCCTTTCTCTGGATGGAAGCAAAAGGCACAATGGAAAAGTACAATTGGAAGAAGCTGAGAGGATGGGAGAATCAAGATTATTTTCCCTCCATCCCCCCTGCCAACAAAAGACCCACACCAAAACAGATTGCAAACTGAAGGTGCTTCAGGGTCATGGTACAGCCAGGCACAAGTCTGGGCAGAACTGGTGGCACTGATAGAAGCCTGGAGCACCCAAACTTTGGGCTAAACCTTTTGATTTGATCCAGGACACTCTGCTGCTCCCAGGCCTGACCTCATCACCTTGCTTTTGCCCAGTGTTTGCTTGTACTGGGAGAGCAGTACCCACCCCGAGTAATAGCATCACTGCAAAGTCTCCTCCTGCTCCATCTCATGGACAGATTTAACAGCTCTCTCTCTCCCTGTCCCAGTTAAGAAGGGGGTGGTGAAGCAGGAGGAGGTGTGCGTCATCGATGCGCTGCTGGCCGACATAAGGAAAGGGTTCACGCTGAGGAAGACAAAGAACAGAGCCGAGTCGGAGGCGGTTCCCAAACCCTTGCCTGCAGAGATCCCAGAGGAGAGCCAGCCTGGTAAGGACAGACCCGACTGTACCTGCAGCTGTGCATTCCCATCTGCCTCTGAGCCCAGACCAAGCACACAAGCAAGAAGCCCTTGCATTTGCATTTGGGGCATTTTATGTAAGAAGGTTTTGCAGCCAGTGCCATGGAGAAGAGGAGCAGGGAGCCCCCAGCTGTTGCCAGCCAGGTTTGTCCCTGGAGCAGCATGGCCTTGCACCCGTGCCGAAGACCCCTTTGAGGCACAGCCCACAGGTCAGCCACAGAACCCTGCTGATGAGATGCTGGTGTCATCCCCACAAGTCCCCTCTGTGCTGTCGAGTCTCAGTAGTACAGCCTGCCACTACCTTGGAGGCTGCTGTGCCCTTAGTCCACGTCTGGGAGTCTGAAGAAGGCCTTAAAAAAAGATTGGAAAACACTATTTGCAGCAGGGCCCAAGTCCTTTAGGTGCTTGTTAGAAGATAGCCCATGGGTTTAGCTTTTCTTTGGTCTCTTGACCTTGGTGTCAGTGCACATTAGGTAAATCCAAAGGACACTGGCCTGCCATAGAGCCTAACTTGTGCATTGTTGTTCTCCTAAACCTGCTCTGCAAGGGCAAGATTAGGCTGACTAATGGGAGTTTTGAAGTCCTCGTGCAGTCAAGCCTGCAGCCCTACCTGGTTCAGGACCTCTCAAGTGGGTTCCTTTCTGCTGTAAGCTTTCAGGCACCCTTGTGAATCTGGGGCACTTCCATGGAAATCAGCCAGTTGGCAGCAAAGACAAGGAAACACCTGCTGAAAACAGATCAGGGGCTTTGCTGAGCTGAAGCCTTAGAGTGCAACTGGGATGACCACGGGGTATAAGGAGAGGAGGTATAGGAGGATAAAATGGTGCTGCTGCCTCTGCATAGCTGCTAGCTTGTAGCCTCTCTCAGTGGCAGAAACACCTTGGCTGATCCCTGAGGCAACTCTGAAGCTGTGGCTTATAGCATATTTTTTTTTTTTATTTAAAGGAAAGAGCATTAAGGATCCACAAGAAGCAGGAAAGCAGATCGATGACAATGATGGTCGTTCCTCAGAAAGCACTCTTCCCTCAACCACTGCCCTGGTGGAGATGGGTGGAGATGTTACAAATTCCTCAGCTACAAATGAGGCGTTCTCTAAAAGCAACGCTGGAGGACATTTGCCACCAGAGTCCCAGACAGAAAGCCCGTCAGTAAGCCTGGTGGAAGGTGGCGTGGCCAGCAGCTCCATTCCCTTCTCTGCTGCTAACATAGGCACAGGGATAAGGTTTGCGAGCGGTAGCTCGGACACTGCTCTAAGAGACCAACTCAAGGGGTCCATCTCAGAAGGCCAGGAGAAGGAGTGCCCAGCTGATGGCTCACAGAGCTGCAGGCTGGCACAGGAGCCAGAAACCCGTCTGGGTGAGACCAGCCTGGACCTTGGCAGCGCTCAGTCCACACCCCGCGATGAGGCTCGTCGGGCAGAGTCAAAAGAGATGGGCAAGGAAAATGAAGACCCTGGTACAGACTCGCTGTTGGACACCTCCCAAGAGAAATCGTTCTCTGAGGAGCCAGCCACCGACTCCTCGTGTTCTGCAACACTGCCCCCAGAGCAAACTCACCTGGACAGGGAAAAGCAGAGGCCATCTGGGAAACGGAGGAAGAAAAAGAGGCACAGCAAAAGCCACTCAGGTAGCCTATTTCATATGTAGCCCTCGGGGACCGAGTTAAACTGGGGAGGCTTCCTCCTGTGTTTGTACATATCTGTTCCTCCCCACTTCGAGGTCCAATGCCCCCTGCCCCAAGAGCCACACTGTTTCATGGACCTGTTATTTTTTTTATACCTGAAAGAGATTTAAATTGAAAAATGCAAGCATAGTTCATTCTCTTGACATTTATAAGTAGTTTATAAAGGGGTAATGATGAATCAATAATTAAAAAGCCCATTACAGATATGCAGTAAAGATAGCAATAAGCACATCTGTCAAGTGGGCTAAAGACAGCTACAAGGCACTCTTATGTGCAAACAAGAGCTCCATTAGACTCCAGAGCAGTGATTAAGAGCAGTTAATACTGGGTACTTAATCAGCAATCACCCCCTCTCAGCTACATATAAACACATAAAGGCAGCAGCATCAGTGCTGCTGTGCAGTTGTTTGGTTTTTCCCCTCCTAAGGCTCCTTGCAAGAGCACTTTGCCTGCAGTGACTTGACAGCCTGCCCCAGGGGCACCTGAGGTGACTCCTGAACATCAGGTCCTCAAGCCATTGCTGCAGGGTGAGGGGAGAAAGTCAACAATTAGGGAAAATCATCTTGCTGATGCTTCTGCAAAGCATTGTATTTGGGTCTCCCAGTCCATCCCACTGGAGAGAGCTTGGCCACCTGAGGCATGGAGCCACCCAGGTCTCTGCCTCAAGGCAAACACCCACAGCCAGAACCAAACCTGGGAATTGCATCCAAGTTGTCAGACTCTGCTGAGCTGAAGCCACCCTTGGGTGCCTATTCTATTAGAATCCCAAATTAGAGGTGCCTTACAGGGAAGACACATGGGTCTGTCAGCCTTTCAAAAGATGCAGTATACTGCCCAAAGCCTGTTTTCTGCAAGATCCTGGTGTCAAACAGGTGGGAGAACAGTATGTTTTTATTAATGTTGAATGTTTTCCTTCCAAGGAAGGTGGAAGAGAAAGGAAGGGAGGGTTTGAATACCCACTGCTGAGAAAAATGAAATGGGTTGAACATCTACCACAGAGACACTTGCCAGCATGCCTGGGGCTGTAGTTACTTACATTTCTAAACAGGCCACTTTCCCCTAATTAAAAAACAAGCCACAAACCAGAAGTGGTTTCCCAGAACAGTGGTTCCTGAACTTGCTTCCCAGGAGGCAGCAGAAGGAGCTGCAGCAGCAGGAGCCTCCACCCCACACTCCCAGCTATGGCCATGTTTTCCTGATGTCTGAAACTGGTATTTCTGGCTTAAGGAATTAAACCCTCCAAAAGCCACAGGGCTCCCTGGGCATCCATCTTAGGAGCCTCTCTGCTACTAGACAATGTTCTCATTGTAAAAATTTCCCTGTTGTTACCTTTACTTTGCCATGATGAGCTGTATTTAGTGTCTCTCTTTTGTTTAAAAGCAGAGGTTGAGACTGATACTGGAGATAATAAAACAAAAAAAGGTTGTGTGATACAATGAGGTATGTAAACTCACAAAGGTGTTTCTATGTGAACTAACCGCAGCACTGGGACTTTACAGACCTAATCAGGACTCAGCATATCAGCTAAGCTTATTGTCTTTGTGTCTAATCAGAAATACATGTAAAATAAATACGTTACTCTGATTTTTACTCTCCAGGGTGTTGATCTTGCGTGGAGTGGAGTCAGTACTGATCTCCCCTCGACACAGGGTCACAGCCCCACATGTCTGTCCTCTGTGTCAGCAGCAGCCAAGCCTCCTTTCCCTGCAGACAATTAAAGGTCACTATTCTAACAAAGTGAATCCAGCTTTGTGTGATAAATAAAGTCCTTGCTTTGATCCCATTATCTTCTCAAAAACTGTAAAAATGCAATTTCAGTACCTACCACCTACAAAGAACAATATTTGCTTTGCTTGCAGGTAGCCACTTCCTATTACAGCGTTTAAACATAGGTATCTGGAAAAGGGGATAAAACCCTGGACCTGGGGAGAAGTGCTAGCTGGGGCAAGATACCAGCTCAAAGTCAAATTGAATTCCAGAGCTGCACACAAACTAGTCCATTGGAGCAAACAGACCGTGCATACTTCATATGTCCATTCATGCAGCTTTCTGAGATGGGGGGGTAGGTCATGTGGGTTTTGTCACCCAAAAAAAACTAATACAGGTAAACCCAATGTCTAGTAAAACTGTGTACCGAATTCCCTGCATCCTTCATTGATGCTGGCAACATACAGTTGCATCTCAAGAGAAAACTTAAGGCGTTTCAGCGTGAGACTTTCATTTGCAAAATTTGCCTGTTTTTACAGCAAGTGAAAGGAAAAGGAAGAAAAAGAAACAATCAAAACACCCACGGTACTGAAATTGCATAGTTACGCATTGTCCTTTCCATGCTGATGAGCATCTCTTATGAACTGAATCAATAATGTCAAATCTCTCTCGGTCTCATTTGCTGAAAGGAATGTATTTATTCTCCAGTATCCCCGGTGCCCAGAGCTGTGGGCCTGCCTGGGACCTCTGCTCCTGCACAGCCATGAAGCCTCAACCCCTGGGGTGGTGGTAGGACAGAGGAATCTCTGTAGTATTTCCCCACAGGGTTGCTTTGGTTCCTGCAACTGGACCATCACTGCTAGCAAGAAAAAATAAGATATAAATTAGGTAGTTATAGTTTGGCCTACTCTTGCCCTCCTCTTGGCCCTTTCCATGCTGTACCACAGGATTACATCAAGTGGAAAAGGGAAGTAGCTCTGTTGGTTTAAAAATCCTAAGGAAAATTTGGAGCAAGAGGAGAAAATAGTAGCAGGAAGGCACAGGTAAGAAATAAGTTGGGACCAGCAGCTGGGTGGCACAGGGAGGGCAACTGAAACCCAGAGTCGAGCTCAGCTCAAATTATATTTTTTTTTAAGTAAGTGTAGGATTCCAGCATGCAGGCTTAAAAAAAAGCCATATTTGAAAAAAAAATAAATACTGGCACAGACAGCTTTGAATTCCCCTTAGAAGACATAGGAAAGCAGCACTGAGGAATGCATGGACAAAGGGTACCTCAATGGAGTGACCGAGTCAGGAGTTCGGTGCACCCTTGGAATGCAGCACCCGGCTGTGCTTCGGTGCCAGGAGGGCAGAGATGATCTGCACCTTGAAACCTCTGCTTCCCTTTTTCCCCTCCTCCCATCTTTATAACACTTGGAAAAGTTAGAGGAAGCAGAACTCTGCTTCCTTCTCTTAGTGTCCAGCTACAGTGCTTCCTCACCCAAACGCAGCTCAAGACCATCCCTCTTGATATGCCAGACTCAGCAAGCCTAGACTGCTCCCCAGCAATATTTTTTTTTCCTAGGATGTTCCACCTCAATATTTTTCTGTTATTTATTGACCCAACTGCAAATGGTCTGTTCAGGTCACAGCACAAGTCCTTTTGTGGCATGGGATATTTCTCCCTCTGGTGGATTTGCTGGATGTGGAAGTTGCTGGGTCTCAGCAAAGCTGCAGGAATCTTCTTTCTCCTTATGCAGATCCATCTGCAGGGATCAAGACTTGATCCCCTTACCAGTTTTTAGAGCTTCTGTAACAGCAGCAGAGTAAGGGCAGGAACAACTATATCTTGTTATGCAACAATTTCTGTATTAATTTTCATATTCTTTAAATGTCAGCTTTTACACTCACAAAGTGGTACCTCACATTATCTCTATACTCCTGAAAGGAATGGTTTAGCTGGTTTTCTTGTGGAATCAAGGCACTGGTGGTCACACTGTGTGTGCACCTGGTAACATCTGAACTCATTTCCAACCAAATCTGAAAAGAGCTTGAGGAAGGACCATTTAACAAAAGCTGACAGTCAGATGGACTGGACAAATGCCTGGACACAGGGGAGGTGCTCTTTGAGTTCCCTTGTCTTAGACCATAGAGAATGACTACAGATAAATGTTCACATCTGTTTGTGCAACTCCCTTTTTCCTCTCTTTCCATTTTTATGTCTCTTGGAAAGGCTAGGGGAAAATAGTCTTGAAAGCACAAGTCCATAGGCAACCACAGTTTGGCAATTTCCCTGCTCACAGATCTACTTGATTTATTCCCTGGAAAATAAAGGAACAAACCAAACTGCCAGCATAGGCCCGTGCTCCAAGACTGCAGGGTGATGAGGAAGGGAGGGGACGGGGGGGATGCAGCTCTGCTTGCCAGCAGCTATGATATACACAAGGCACAGTGGGACATCAGCCTCCCATGCAAAGAGGCAGCAGGGTTTGAGAGTCAACGTTTTCCTTGGATTTTTTTTTCAATTGTTTTCCTTCAAGTCTAGAGGAACAGATGCCTCATCTCCCCTTCTGCAGGCTCAGTAGTGTCTGTGGGCAGTTTTCTAATGGACCATGAGAATGTAATGAAGCTAATGCTCATCTTGTATATGATACTTGCCTTCACATCTGTCATTGGAAATGGTATTTGCTTAGGTCATGGAGTGAGACAGGCTCTTAAAAATTATTGTGTGCCACTCTGTCCTTCTGACTATCCTGCTAAATCCTCTAGATTTAGTAAGTTCATCAAGTTAGTATCTAGAACCATATTCCAATACCCTGCTTGGAAGACACAAGAGTCATGTTATTGGACTGAACTAGCACCCAGCTTAAAAGCAAAGTTCAAGATCAGCTCTGAAATTATGAGAGGTTTTTATTAAGAACAAGAAGATTCAGCTCTACCTGGTTTTAGGTTATCTGGAACTGGTTTCCCTAGTAGCACCTAGAACATTAAATACACACACAGGCCAAGACACACCACTTTTGCTTTATAGTGCCAAATAATACGTTTTTTCCCCTCTCCTCCTGCAGGTCTCACGGCAAGGCAGAAGAAATAACAGAGGCCCAGTGAACCACTCACCCATCCCCAGAGCACTGCCAGCTTCTCAGAAGCCAGGTTCTGCATCATCAAACCACCACTGTGGTCACCTCTGCCCCACCAGGACGCACTGCTTCTCATCACACAGCCTTTCACTCCCCTCCCCGAGACCCAAAGAACCTCCCCAGAGACTTTGGCCCCCTCAACCTGGGCCTTACTCCAGGCACCCAAGGGGACTAAAGCCAGTTCTGTGCATGGCAACGTGAAAGAGCCATCTCGTCTGCTGTCCTGGAAGCCAAGTCTTTCAACCTGCTCTTAGGCCAAACTCCTCTTGAAGTGACAGCTGAGTGTGGCCCAAGAAAGGACTGCAGTGTTTAGCCCTCAGAGAAATTTTAAAAATAGCAGTGCCTCAACTAAATTAAGGGTATAAATTAAGCAGTGGGTGTACCGTCAAAGGTGGAAGCATGTTAGCTCCCTCTTCTCATCACCCGCTGATCAGACAAATGTATTTTTACTCTCAATCATTTAAAGCAAGGGAAATCAGTTTCAGGGAAAAAAAAAAATAAAAAAAATAAAGTATGTATTTTGGTAAGCATATGGCCACATAAACAGTGTCTGGTTCTTACATGACGCTTGTGTGCAGTTAAGCTGAAGCACGTCAGTAGCCTTGCAGCAATCTTCTCAGATGCACAGATGCGTCCATCAGCTTTTGGAGAACCAGGGCCCCGGTTCGTCTTATTAAAGGCACAGAAAGAGGTTTTCCAGAGTGCTCTATTGGACGCATTTTTGGCTCATCCTTTAGTAAATCTCTGGGTTTGAATGCTGTTGTCAGCTGCTTGCACTCAATAGTCTTTGTGTTCAAGCTGCAGAACATGTAGATTCATGTTACTTTTTCTTTAAAACTGGGAACATGCAGTATTGTGGTTTCAAAATTCAGAGTTTTGTTTCTCAAGTTTTGTAATAACATTGTACTATAGTTTTGTATATAGCTGTCTGTTTAAAATGATCTATGTTTTTTGAATCTGTGGTGTGATACTGTGCTGAAACATGAAGCAAGTGGAAGAGCTGGGTACTTTTAAGAACTATGCCTTTATATGGTAACTCACTGTGGCTAGACTAATGTTCAGGCTAAAGCTTATTTTGCTTTGCTTAATAGGACTTGTAATGTTCTTGTAATACTGAAAACTACGCTGGACTAAGTTAGAAGTTAAACCAATGATTAAATTACGGGTTTATTTTAACCAATGCTATGAGCACCTTGAGAATCAATTAACAAAAGCAGAGTTGAGAGCAGACACATGGGCAGCTTCAGTTCCCTGCAGACCCCACAGAGTGGCACAGCCCCACTGCAGCTGAAATCCTGTTTCAGGCTGGCAGAAGCAGCCAGAGCCTGTTTCTTGCAGAACCATGTAACTCACCCCAGGTTTGACTTCCAAAACAGTCTATTTTCCCCCCCCCTTTTTTTTTTTTTCTCCAGTCTCAGAGCACATCACCCAAGCATCAGTCCTTTTTCTCTTTATTGAGCTTCTCTGCTTTCACATTAGACCACCAGGCTACAAAAAAAAAAAAAAAAAAAAAAAAAAAAAAAAAAAAAAAAAAAAAAATCAAATCTGAGTGTCAAACGTTTTCCCAGCAGCTTTGCACAAGCCTGCAGCCCAGGCTAGCAGTGAGCAGCCAG